AAAAAATGGGGGGGGGGGTCGGTAAATCAACTGCAAAATGATCAATGAAAGACATGTTTTGGTCCCAACGGTTGAAAGAAGTCCTCTTCTTCCTACCTGCGAAAGTTTTTTCAATGTAACAATGCAGCTTTGGTTCATTAAAAGTTCAAAATCTATTGTTTTGATTATAAACCAGCCTGGTATACGTCGATGAAGGTTAGACATCCAGGTAATACGATACGCCAAAAAGTAGTTACTCAAGCAACTGGATATGATTTTGAAAATCATATCCAGTATGTTCACTTCGTGGCTCATATTGTAACATTTCCGGCTATCATGGGGTGCCTTGGCTTGTTTTTTTTTCGGCCTGTCGCTTCTTTTTTTTCTGAAAAAAAAAACACACAACAGAAACAACAAATAATTAAATTTTTGTGGCCTAAAAATGCAAAGCAATCGGCTATCCGACGAACAGGACAATAACAGAAAGGGGTGAAACATGCATGATTGAAGACTTTGGAATATAGCGTAGTCCAGTTGTTAGTGGCCCTACGTACCTGAACCAAGAAGTTGGGAGTTCGAATCCTGGCTGTTGTCCCTCACACAACACGCACGCAAACAGTCAGTGTCTCAATCAGTAGGACGGCACGTTATTAGGACGTTGGCCGTTCATTGTACTATATTTAAACTGAAAATAACATTGGGAATATCCCCTGCGCCCTGAAAAATGAACCTGTTAATACTGACTGAGTAGCGTCTATCTTCTCTGTCACGACCAACGGGAAAGTAGCTCCTCAGTTTCCTTAAGTCGTTCGAGATCACTTTCTTCAACTGGAATCCTATGTTTGGACTAAGATGGAAGAGGAAGAGAGATAATTTCTCAAAATAAGACTGTACAGGGTAAGAGAAACGTAGGGAAATGAGAGGGAAGGATGAAACCTGTGATGTTATAAAAATTTGTTTATCTATTTATCTCATAAATCTAGATAAGAGTACTGTAATAAAAAGATGCGACACCTTTGAGCGGTGTAGAAAACAGACGTGAATAGTAAATGTCTTTTATTCACATTTCTGAGTTAAGATAACGTTACATGTATACGTACCTCTACGGAACAAGCGTTCTTGTCATTGTTTCATGCTAAAAGTTGAAAACCTCTGAATTCCTCAAGTCAAGGTTTAACAGACCTCTTACATTATGTTAGTAATTCTACTGCACATCCCATTATTTAAAACTACTAAAGGTAACTCATTTCATTGTCTCTCATTAATGTCAATTCTGTTCTAGGTTTAAGTAACCTTCAAGGGGTCTTTGAGCTATGTTTGTTTTTGAACTACAGTAAATAGAACCATAACAGTGACAAATTCAAGGCAAGGTTATAACCATTACAGCGTTTTTTTTTTACGTAGAGATCTAACTAAGGATTCTATGTAACTTGACGTTTTAGTACAATGTATTTGTATTTACTTTCACGGTATAACAATGAATATCTTTTGTCACCGCCATGTTGGTGGGCTGGGTGGATCCATCATGGCGGCTAGTCATTCGGAACGTACAGGCAAAGATTGCAATGAAGGCAATACTATTTTTGCATATTGATTTTGTAATTGTGGGGCAAATGCTATCATCTTCACCCAGAAGTGAGTCAACAGTTTGGAATATCACAAAATTCGCTTTTGTCTTTCACCGAGCTGCAGAACGGATGCTATATTACGTCACTGTTACCTGACTATTTTGTGCACACGACACAGGTCAGCTCTCTTCCCTCCACGTATGGCGGACACGGCAGCGAGCCACAGCGGGCCTCCACGGGGTAAAACAGCGCACCGTTGTCGTTCCCTTCCCCGCCTGGCAGTACCTCGGGCTCCCCGTCCATGCACACGAACTCCGTGCGGTGATGGTTGTAGTGATCAGCCATCAGGTAGCCTCCGTACTCCCGGGTCCAGCCTTCCGGGCAGGTCTTGCGGGCCGGGATCATCAGCTGCGCGCGGCGGGAGAGGCTGTAGCAAACCGAGCACGGCACATCTTGGTCGTGAAGGCTTGCCTTGTTGTACGGTACGTTTGTGTCGAGTTCGTACTCCGCGCCATACATAGAGGACCTCCATCCCTGATTTCCATCTTCGTACCGGCCCCATTCTGGGTCCAAAGGGAGGCACTGGTAGTTGCTCCCACCGCCTTTATTGTTATAGAACGCTCCGCCAGCGCGTCCAGAGTACATAGTTACGGTGCCCATACCCTCGTCACACGACGTCCTCCCCCACCGGATATAAACAGCTCCTCCGGTAAAGCCTTCTACACCTTGGACCCCTTTCTTTCCCTTCGCTCCTCTCTCACCCTTCTCGCCCTCCAAGCCTGGCGGTCCGAGCTTCCCGGGGCGGCCGCCCTCTCCCTTCTCCCCGCGAACGCCCCTCGGGCCCGGCGGTCCCGTGTCTCCCTTCGGTCCCGGTGGAGCCAGCACGGTGATGTTGTTCACGTTGCTGTTTGCCATCTGCCTTGGACAAGAGCCTTCTTCGCCTGCTGAGTCTGCCGCAACGGAGGCAGAGAGCAAAACCAGAGCACAAAGCGTAGCGAAGAGAATCGTAGCTTGACCGTCCATCCTGCTGTAAAGTGTCGAGATCGACATCCAGCTTTCTCGACAGTGGTGGAGAATGGTATGAAATTATTCTGCCCCAAACTTATACAGCAAGTCTAAATATAGCTCACAATGAGATTACATCATATCCTGCAAGTGCTAGAGCACTTCTTCGTCCAACGGAAAAGCAGTTCTTACTCATTGTACCTGCTCTGCACGTGCATCAGATAGGCGACGCTTCTAATCTATCATGGTGAAAATCTGCTCTAATTCTGAGCCGGCAGGATACAGTGGGCACAAGATGTAAATCGAAGGCATAGTTTTAAGTTCCCGTTTTCATTATGATACTAGTATTACCGTATGTAGTACCGACGACAGAAAAGACGTTCCTCTTTCCAGCTTGCCCCATTGCCACTTTATATACAATAACAGTAGATACGTCCTGTAATTGTTGATAGACCTGTTAAGCAAAATGCAGATTTTATAATTTAAGAAAACGAGAGCTCAGCCAGTGGAACAGAACTGACCCAAGACATGTGTTTGGCGCCATTCTCTCTTATTGTCCTCAGTGCTCTTTCATTGCCCTACGCAGAATCCAATTCCTATCAAAGTTGATTGGATCATTCGAATGTGTGCCACCGTCTGCAATTCCGTTCGGCGTGTAGGGGCGGTCCGTTTTGTCTGCCTGGAAGAGGGCGCGCGCGATTGCGAACATTCCACGAGTTTCACCAGCTGCCGCCATTTCGCGGCCAGTCCCCTTCCCGTCATCCTCCGCGTCTGCCGCCATCTTGTTCTTGGGCACCGCCATCTTGTTTTCCTGTTCGTCACAGGGCACAGCCTAGTAATAGAAAATAGGCATCTAATACATGTAAAACATGACAGAAAAGGGGCATCAAAAGTCACCTACCTGAGTTTTAGGCCATCCAAATCACACATTGACTGGGTAATTTCATCTAAAATTATCTAACTTGTCCATTTAGCCCAAAATTTTAAAATCCTACGCACCGAAACATCGTTAAAATCCTTGTTTACAATGGAGGGTGACCTCTGACCTCCCATGGACAGCACAGCAATGCATGTAAACATATATCTTTTTGTCTGTGCTGGACATCTCAAACATGGCTGAAAGTCTGTTTTCTCAACAAAGTAACAATTCAAGAACCCTTACCTGTAACATCCAGCTCCAAAAAGGCAACATTTCCAACAAAAAAGACTTTTCACATTTGGTTTTGTCTTGCCTATCTCTAAAAAAAAAAGTTATATACTCGTACTAAAACTTGCCCCAATTCACCAATTTCACACTTCCCATAATGCCTAGTAAAGATCACGGATATGACGTATGACCAACCCCCTCCCCCTTCCCCGATGTGATATTTCCAGCAAGTTCTATCGACAAACTGGTCAACTGTATTGTTTTGAATTATTTATCTAGTATAAAGCGCATACCATAATTGCATTTTTGTTGGAATTAGAGAAAATGACGTACTAGTACCTTCTATCGTTCCACCCTCTACCGAAGACTCTCCTACTCGGTAATGCATGCGACCGTGCGAGTAGGAGAGTCTCGGTAGAAGGTGGAACGATAGAAGGAACAAAAATGCAATTATGGCATGTGCTTTATACTAGATAGATAATTAAAAAAATAGTTGACCAGTTTGTCGATAAAATTTGTTGGAAATATTATATCGAGGAAGGGGAGGGGGGATGGTCTTACGTCATATCCGTGGCCGTTATTAGGCATTATGGGAAGTGTGAAATTGGTGAATATACTAAAACTTGCCCCAAAACACACGGGCGGATTCCTGACCTTTGCCCCACAGATGGTTAGGTAGCGCTGGATTTCCTCGTAAGGGTCAGTCTCCTGGTCAATCTCATGTTCGCAGATGTCCGCCCCTAATTCCTCCTCCTCTTCGGACATGCGCAGACCCATTGTCAAGTCAATCAGCTAAAGCATGGATGGAACATCAATCAAATTGATAAGTTAAATCGTTATACAACATGACTGGCAATGAAAACTTACATTGCCATGGCGACGGTGGTTGCTGTTAGGGTTATTGTTTGCATGGCACTGCCATCATTTCATGATTTTGAGGTAGCCTTGGTACCTGTTAAGTCTAGACAGATACAGTGCACTCCTCCCCTGAGTGTATAGTGAACGAGCCCCGGGGTCACAGAAAGTAGGGCCATCTGGGGCAAACAGGTCTTCCCAAGGGTTCCAGGAATGTGGGCATAGATGTGGGTCAGAGAAATGCCTGTGGACATTCCGCATGAATGTGGACAAACTGCCTGTGCCATTCCTAGAATTCTTGCAAACTGCACACAATACTGTACCATTAGGCTCCTCCCTGAGACGTCGCCAAAAATTAGATAATGATAAGACGTACGATTCTCAATGAACGATGTTAACTTCGACTTACTTTAAAGGCATCGAACGGAATTTCAGGAAGGCAAAACAAACACAAAAACACTCTGGATTAGGAAATCATTCTGATATTGACTTTTACTGATATTTCTTAGCACATTTGCGTCATCATTTCATATTTTGAAATCGTGAAATAGTTTGAAATAGCGCCTGAGGAGCTTCTTTATTTTTGGTACCACCATTAAGTAATAACCAGCCTCTATGATTATAGGAAACAAGCATCAGTTTTCCCATCAGCTACATCACATGCTCCCTCTCAGATATGACAGCATGCTATGACATAGGGCTGTTTCAACATCATATTACTACATTCAAAAACTGAAAAACTGACTTTGAAAATTCAATTTTACTGGCCTGAAATCACTTTGGATGTCTTTTAACAGTGTCTCTACCCCGTCTTGAATGCTTGGATCTGAAATAGGCTTTATTTCACTTAATAAGAAAAATGCTTACCTTGAGTAAGACAAATGAAATGCCGGCGCCCCACAGAATGATGACGACCACGGCGATCAGCTGGACCCCCAGTAGGTACGGTCCTCCTCCGTACAGAAGCCCTGGCAAAATGAAATATCAATCGAATTTAAGTTAAATTTGAGTTAGATTTAATCCCCAATCGCTTGTACCGACTTAGTCCCGAACACCAGCCAACCATGAACGAACATCCCGTCCACACCCGGATCGATGTTTTGAACAATTTCAAGCATTCCAAGACGAACTTGGCCTCGCCGACCGCCAGCCAACCACAGCCGACCTTGCTCCCGGCCAACTCCTAACCATGGTTAAGGGGGGAGGGCGGTTCAGTGACCGCTGAGTGTCCAAAATTGCAAGTTGTGTGATTCAGTGGTTTTGTAATGAGTCACAGTGAATAAGTATGATTTAAAAGACAACATAATAAAACAAGGCATACAAAATGTAAATTGAACACGGCGTCACTGTAATTTCTTGAACAGTGTCCACTCACACTGCCACACTCTTTATAAGGGCCCTGTCACACTTCTACGAACCGTCTTGCGTATGCGTCGCGTACGGAGATTTTTTCATACGCATCCGTACGCAAACTGCGCACTTCATATGCATCTCAGTCGTTTTGTGCAAGTTTTGTGAACACCAGCATACGCAAAGCACACGCATAGCACGGCTCAGTACGCAGCGCACGGCTCAGTACGCAGCGTAGTTTTGAGCATGCCCAAAACTACGCTGCGTACGCTGTTACGCAGGTCATACGTTATAAAGACGCAATGCATCGGTCGAGCACGGTACGATTACTGTATTGTGCGTACGGCAGAAATGTCTGTACGCAACTCGTACGCAATGGCGATACGCAGAAGTGTGACATACATCTTGTCCATACGTACCCTTTCTGCCGAAGGAGAAGTTCTCCAGACTGTCGTTCAGAGCGAAGAGCCCCACCGCCAACATGCCCCAGATGGCGGCAAACCCATGCACAGGCACCGCGCCAACTGGGTCGTCTGGAACCAAGCGTTATCGTTAGGCCACAGCAAGTAAATTTCATGGACGACATCCTCCGCAGATCCCAAATCTAATGCGAGCGGGCGAAAAAAAACGAGGCGGGCCGAAAAAAAAACAAGGTTCCTACAATTCAAAATTTTGACTCAATCATTGTACAAAATTTAATGGTTTTAATTCAGTAGAAACATCACATACACACAGCCAACACCACATATCACTGCATCAAAGTGAGAAACACAACATTAAATCAGAGCCATTTCTTGTCTCCTCTCTTCATAGTTATCTGCCATCCACCTTCCGGCATGGCAACAGACATATTTGCCCATTTTTGGCATGTTGACCACTGTCAGAAGGCAACAAAATTTCCTGTTTTTTCCCCTCAAAATCAGGCTGATGTCATGCATAAAAATTACTTGCTGTGGCCTTATATCAAAACTCCCCACATTGTATAGCCTCTACCAGGCCTCGCGGGGCGCTAAAAAAAAAAGTAGAAATTAGCCAAAATAAAGTGATTAGTATACCAGGGGAACGTTAGCCGGCCAAAGAGGGTACGTGTATCCGTGGGTTGCAAAATGTACCCTTTCTGGCCGGCTAATAATATAATAATAATAAATAACTGTTCTCGGGTACCAATCTGCGGCTAATTGCCCAAAGGTAAAGCCGGATCGGCACAACAAATCAGTATGAGTCCTTAATGTTCTTGTACAGTCCGTTCCACTTTTCCTTCTGCCTTGCCTGGTCTCGTAGCCACTTAAGAACGTAGGCCTCGGCTTTAATGTTCTGCTGGAAGTACAACTTGACGTCGTCTAGTAGACAGTCCAGAAGACCTCCTCGGGGCCTGCCTTTCCTTGGCGAGAGTTTTCTGCTAAAGGCGATGTTGAGGGCCTTTTGTGCAGGTGAGTCAGGTGACATGCGGAGAATGTGTCCGAAGAAAGTCCATCTGCGCCGGTGGACTTCATTTTGAAGGGGAGAGGAGTTACAGATCTTGTACAGGTTGGTGTTACTGATGTGGTGTGGGTGGACATACCCAGCTAAGCGTCTTAACTGCTTCCTGTGCCAGGTGTCGATCTTGCTGGCTAACTGTTCCGTTAGCCCCCATGTACCACAGTTGTATAGCATTACAGGTAAGACGTAAACGTTAAAGAGTTGGCCGGCTAACTCCTCTGATATACTATTCCCAAAATCAGCATGACACTAAGAAAAAGTTGATAAAAACGGGTTACTGAAGAAACCCAACATCTTGGAATAATATTTTTTTTATTCCAACATTTCATAACTGGACATTGTGACGGCACACTCCAGTTATATAAACTTATTTTATACCAACACAAACGCAGAGGACAAATACGGAACAGAACAATACTCATTTTCACTTGAGTTAATTAAGTGAGAAAAGTCGTGTATAGTGCCTTTGCCAAGGGCACAAGATCGGTGGCATATCAGGACTCGACCCCGGGACCTCTTGGTTCCGACTCAAGTACTCTGCCGCTACGCCACACGACCCTACGACGAATCATTTGGAATAGTTTGAAAGCACGTACCTATCTTGAGGTAGTTCAGCAACGGGACTCCGAGATCAGCCACCAGCCCGCCGAAGGACCCGATCACCAGGCCTCCGAACGGACTAGCGATCGCACAGATCGCTGGGTAATAAAAAAAAAAAGAGTCAGACAGGAATAGGTTATTTGCACACACGTGACTGTGACGTAGGCACCGTCCACCATGCTGGGGGGGGTTGACTTAGAGGTTGCTAGATAATTATATTTGACTGTTTGTTTGTAATTTGCGATCGTGACATGCATGTGTATGTCTTGTTGGCTGAAGTCATGATCATGTGCAGGACAGAGAACGGTTGTCACAAACAAGAGACAAATGTCCATCTATATTAATGAACAGACTTTGTTTACTTCATGCCTCTAAATCTATATTTATATAATTTGTTTTGGTCCGTATTGTCCTTGGTTTGTTGGCAACATGAAAATAAATCATCGACTAGACTGTGTTTATTTCCGCGAAATATTGTCAACATATATTGCATTTAAAAAGATCAACCTGTCGCATTAAATTTGATTCTTTTTACCGAAAATGTAGTGGCAAAGAAAGGACCTGTCTAGACTTACCAGTGACCGACACCAAGCCTCCCAGAATGCCGTTGACAATGTCACCTACGTTAAATTGTCCTTTTTTGGTCGCGTAGCTGAGGGTACAGACATAGATAATCTAACTAATAAAATATTTTCACACGCGACAGTCTCTCTGTATAAATAGCTCAATAGCTAAGTAACTAAACAGCTCAATAACTAAATAACTAAATAACTAAATAACTAAATAACTAAATAACTAAATAACTAAATAACTAAATAACTAAATAACTAAATAACTAAATAACTAAATAACTAAATAACTAAATAACTAAATTAACTACCATTTATTACTATCTATTTACTACCATCTATTTATCCCTGAAATCTATTTAGATATCTATCTATCTCAGTCTGTAATTATAGACATTGCCACATAGCAACACAGTTATTGAAGGTAGCCAATACAGTTTTATATATATCAATACACATCGGTACAGAGGCATGCAAACAATTTGACATCAGTAATCATTAAAACATGTTGGCATTCTATTTTACCTGTAGGTGACGCCTACAAGTCCTCCCCCCAGGGACCCCAACATGGTGGACACGGCCGACCTAACGCAGAACAAATCACAAAACAAGAGTACTCCACATTAACGGTATTCTGAACGTTAAAGAATAACATTGAAAATCCCTCTTTTACATTGCAGATTTCCTTTACATTCTATTAGAATAATGTAATAGTTTTGTAGATTGTTAAGCCACCTTATGTGTTGCTGTAATGTTTTGTCATGTCTTGTCAGCAGGACAAGTAATTTTTAATAGCCACTGGCTAGTTTAGCTGCCCTGGCTGTGAGGGTTGAACAGCCAAACCGATTTGAAAAAGTCTCCCTTTATGTTCTCTAATCAGATCAGTAAAGTTGCAAGTTTGCAACAAAATTGGCCAGTACAGACTTAGGAAAATGATGTGTGTTGAGCATGTGGGTCATCCTTAGGACGACAAAAGAATTGATCAAAAATGAAGGAAGAGGAATATTTTTGTCCTAGGCCAGTTGTAGTACGTCAGACCATCATTTTGGTTGTGCCGAAAAATCTACACAATCTCAATATATATACTTTCCGTAAGTCAGAAATCTGTAATTCCCTGTTCATTACGTTTTTTATTATTACCTCCATGAAAAATGGAGGTATTATTTTTGGCGTGTCTGTGTGGGTCTGTCTGTGTGTCTGTCTGTCTGTGTGTGTGTTTTAGGGAAATTAATGAGGACATGTTGAAATTAAATATTGCCAAAGGATAGGAATTCCTCACGCAAAATATTGTAATTTGAGTTAAGAAAACTATAACTTAAACTGTTAATTACGACCTTGCTTTCATACACAATGAGACAAATCTCCCCAATAACAATTTTACATAAACTCTACATATTTCACGGAGGTATGAGATCTCCGAATTCTTGTTACAGATGAAATTTCAGGCCGAATTTGCAAGTTTCGTTGATTTACAGATTTTGAACTCTCACCGTGCAGCTAGTTTCCACTTGCCTCCTTGGATCCCGTATGTACTTCCGCAGTTAAACCCCAGCCAGCCCCACCTAAACAGAAAGCATAACATTAAACATTCGTGGCGTCGTGTGACGTAGTGGTAGATCACTGGAATATGAAACGGGGAGACCCGGGTTCAATTCCGAGTCCGAACAATGCGCCCCGACGTCCGAACATGCGCCCGACGTTGTACCCTTGGGAAAGGTACTTTACACGACTTGAATGTGTGACAAGGGCTTTTTAGCCTTAGAATAGTCCAGGTGAGATCTGAGTACAACCCAAGAAGATAAAGAAACAGCCAGGCACTCCGATTAATACTACAGAACTAATCAAGAGAATGACCCTCCTTACCACAGCATGAACGTCCCGAGTAGCACGTTGGTCGGGGAGGACATCTCGGGCGAGCCGCCGCCTTTCTCGTCGTCGAAGCGTCCTACCCGCGGCTTCAGCAGGAGGGTCGCCACCAGCCCGCAGGACGCCCCGCACAGGTGCACGGCGCCCGTCCCGGCAACGTCTATCACTCCCATCTGGGGACAGAGGGGAAACTTTGTTTTGAAAAAAATGTTAAAGTTTTTAAAGTAAATCTAAACTGTACAAGATGACCGAAACATGCATGCACACATACAGACACAGAGGCAGATGGATAAACACACACCCATACACACATACGGACACACACACACACGTTGACACACACACAAACACACACACGTTGACACACACACACACACACACACACACACACACACACACGTTGACACACACACAAACACACACACGTTGACACACACACACAAACACACACATAGCTCTCGTATACAAGATCCACTCAATACAGCATTCGAAAAGCCCTACCGTATACAGGAATCCGTTGGGCGCCCAGACCCAGTGCGCAGGGAAGATGTAGACCACGGTGTTCAGCATAGAGAACACGATGTACGAGTTGAGCTTCGTCCGCTCGGCCATCGCCCCCGACACGATGGTGGTACTGGTGGTGGCGAAGGACAGCTGGAAGATGAACTTGGCGAAAACCTATATTGGAGATTTCAATTTCAATTTATTTATTCAACCAGTAATTACAGCTCAGGCCATTTAGGCCTGTTTTCAGGTAATCCTGGATACACGTAAAAATACACACAACTAGAGTTCCCCGATCTCATACCTTCGCCAAATGATGTTAATCTTTATGACTGACAAAGTTTAGATTAGATTATTCCCCCTGATTTAAGAAATAGGAACCTAATTTTCATTATATCATTTTATCATAATCTCAACCAAAAGACAGTCTTATATTAACAAAGAATGCATTCTAGCATTTCCTAATAAATTATGCAAATGAGGTCCTCATTTGAATAAATTATGTTTAATGATGTTCACCTCAATTTAACTTTCAAATACCACAAGTATGAAATTCCAGGCAGTTATCATTACATAATTATAAAATTTTCTCATTAATTATGCAAATTAAGTCATTATTAACATAATCAATATCTTCCTGTGTTTCTCTCGTTGTCAATTACCAATGTCACAAGCTTCAATTGTCCTATCATGGAATGCAGCTGATTTATAGAATTTCCCCATAAATTATGCAAATTACATCCATATTTGCATAATTGTCACATAATTATATTAAGCATCACGTAAGCTACCTACATACCAAAAATCACGACGATCCGTCAACCGGTTCTTGAGTTATCCCCTTTTGAATATTTTCAAGAATTTATCCCTGCAGTTCCAGAGCAAGCCGCTAGGGGGCCTAAACTCACGTCACTTCTTTCCCAGCACAAGAGCTACCTACCATCTAAATTTCATCACCATAGCATGTCTAGATCATGAGATATCAAAACCGGAAGTTCAGCTGCAGTACCATAACAAGCCGCTAGGGGGTCCAAAATCTAATCATTTTGAGGTCTCATCAAGACCTACCCACCTACCAAGTATCAAGACAATCCATCAAGGCCTTCTCAAGTTATCGTGTTTACAGACAGACAGACACACACACACACACACACACATACACGAACGCCCCTGAAAACATAACCTTCTTGGCGAAGGTAACAAATACACAGTACATAACACTTACTAAATACAACATGGCAGAGCCGCATGAGTAACAAAGAACTCTACAACGGTCTACCCCTGATTACCCAGACCATTCAGAACAGACGACTGGCCCTTGCCGGTCATGTGGTACGCCACGAAGAGATGGCTGCCAAAGTGCTTCTCTGGCAACCGGATGTAAAAAGAAGGAGGGGATGTCCGTGCCTAACGCTAAAGAAACTGATCGAGGAAGAGGTTGGACTACGGGATGAGGAACTTCTGTCCGCCATGCGCGACAGAGTCACGTGGAGAGACATTATGAATGGCACCTCATAGAGGATGACCTGAACTGAACTGAAATACAACATCCTAAACATCAACTGGATCAAGTCCTGTTCCTAATGATCTGATTAAAAGTCCTGAGAAGTCCTGTTCCTAATGATCTGTTTAAAAGTCCTGAGACTAAAGGAGCTGTTCCACAGGTAAGGTCCATAGTAATGTAGACTGCTCCGGTACGCAGTGACTCTTGCTGGTGGACAGAAGAGTAGGTGAGGGTCGTAGTCCCTAATACGCTTTAACTCTGACCGAGTAGTCCGTACACTTAATGTTGGAGGAGCGTTCTATAATGAATGAATGGATAAGGGGAGGATCGAAGGAATAAATGAATGTCGGGGCGATTGGAGGAAAAATTAATACTGGATGGAGGAAATGCGTCGTAGGTCAATAGAACGCTTCATTTCATTATCATCATTCATTCATTTATCCATCGGTCACCGTGCATTTACAGATACGGATAAACAGATAATGATGATTATACAAATCCAGATACGTGTGCAGCTTCAGGTCCAAGTTTTCGTGGTACTCATACATACAGAGATTGTGCGCGCGTGTGTAGTATGTTTGTTATTGTGTGTATGTAAAATAATGGTACTGTAGAATTGTTTCAACAACTGATTTAAAACAGGAAAGTCTTATGAAACGAAAAGTATGATATAAAAGACAACAAAGCAAAAAAGAAGTTGAAAAAAAATCAATAATGGGAACTACTGGCGTATATTTTGGATATAAATTGTTGATTTTTCGTTAATCGAAACACCCCGGCCGGGACCCGGTTTGAAAATGTGACCTCAGTTAAATCTGGCTTCGATCCGACTCAAAGCGAATCGATTCGGCTCGATCCGGACAATTTTATCCTAGTGGGAAAAGAACTACCCTCGAAGCCAAGCTCGTTTCGGGCCGCCAGCCGTTTCCTTCGGCAGCCAAGAGCCCTTCGCCCGCCTGTCTAAATTACCGCTACGAGGGAGTCTAGCCCGGGGGGAGTTTGGCTGGCCCTACAACACATAATACTCCCCACGGGCTCAACTCCACCGCAGCGGTAATTCAGATCGGCGGGAGAAGGGCTTCTGGCTGCCGAAGGAAACAGTTAGCGACCCGTAAACTTGTCTGGCACCCAGAGTAAAAAGGGCAATATACAGAAACGTTGTTATATCTATACCACGCCCATGTGCTCGTCGTCCGAGTCCAGGAACCAGTCTCCGACCCCGCAGAAGGCGTTAGTACCCGGCGCCATGCCGAACGTGATACCAAACCCGAACATCCAGTACGTCAGCCCGCCGAACAGGACATCCACCGCGTTCTTCACCATGATGTTCACCTCGTTCTTGGACGACACGTTCCCGCATTCCAGCAGACCGAAACCTGGAGACAAAATGAGAGAAAGAATTGAACCGCGACGGGGGCTGACATCGTCTACCAGATGCCTTTAACCCAGTGTTGACGTCACACTTGAAAGAAGCCACGTGACAAGCTTCACAGGGTCAGTCTACTGAGGAAGACCAGAGTGACTGTTCGAAAGCTCTTGGTGAGAGAACTTTTTGTGTTGGACCAAAAGTTTTAACTCGAGAGAGAGAATGGTTTATTCAATATAGAAAAAAAACAACTTTGC